TCTAAAACAAAAAATCATATGGCATCGTCATCAACTTTTCACAGGTTTCAGAGCAGCTAAACAACAAAATAGCCGTGAGACAATGAGTGTCGAACCTAGCAAGTCCTCGAGCACAGCGCTGTGGGTTTTCACTCTTTGTTGTTCAACATCCTATTTTAGAAATGTTTGAGCCTGTGAAAATCAACATAGGGGCTCCTGGGTGGCTCAGTCATCAAGCGTCTGCTTTCAGCTCCAGTCATGACCCCAGGGTCCTGGCATCGAGCCCCACATCGGGCTCCCTGTTCGGCGGGAAGCCTGCTTCTCCCTCCCACTCCCTCTGCTTGTGTCCCCTCTCTCACTGTGTCTCTTTCTGTCACATAAATAAATAAATATATTTTTTTTAAAAAGAAAGAAAATCAACATACACTGAATTGACATTTTTTTTCTTGTAAACGAGGCCTCTAAATTTTGGTGGTATTTTGTTCAAACTCAGTTGGAAATCACTCATCCAAGCGTCTGATGCATGAACTGGTAAGAAACTTCAGCTTTTGATGTGTCCTGAATCATCATTCTCCATTATTCCCAAATAAATCCATTTTAGCTGGTAAAAAAAAAAGGCGGGGGGGAGGACACTTAAGCATTTGAAACTCTTAGTTGCAGCTATCGGAAACCAAACAGGGAAGCGGTGAATGTGGGCCCTTCAGAAGGAAGGGAAGTGTGGTCAGACCAAATAATGGCAGAGCATTCTGGAATGTGTCAGCTCGTGAACAGACTCTTGTAGTGGAATTCCTATGTTAAACCGGACAAATGTACAGTCTGCCCTGCAGTGGATTGAAATTGAGATGGTCTCCCGTGTGGTAGCATCGAAATTTGGTGCAGAGAATTTTTTGAAAGAATCAGAGACAGCTTACAAATGACTCGACGTCACTCATGTGGCCGTTCTGGATCTTTCTGGTGTGGAAAATGAGGATCATAGATTGTACTTTGCTTTTTATTTTAAGGATCAAAAAGCATGTATGGAAGGCACTTTACACTTAACGACGGCATCTAGGACAGAGCAGGGGCCCTCAGAGTCTAAGGCTGTATGAGCTTTAACACTTGAAAAATGTAGTCATTTGTCCTTTTATCACATTAATTTTTTAAATTTTCTCCCCCATGTAAAATTGAAACATTTTTAAATGCTTTTTAAAAATATTTTATTTCTTTGACAGACAGAGATCACAAGTAGGCAGAGAAGCAGGCAGAGAGAGAGAGCAGAGAGCCCGATGTGGGGCTCGATCCCAGGACCCTGGGATCATGACCTGAGCAGAAGGCAGAGGCTTAACCCTCTGAGCCACCCAGGCGCCCCAAATAACAAATTTTTAAACAATTTTACAATTGTTTTTAAACAATTTTTAAACAATTACAAATATACATATCCTGTGCCTGTCAGTCAAGGTCTGTTCTGGTTCCAGAAAACACACCTGTTGTCCGAACAGAGAGGATGTAAAGGTTGCTAACTGGATACAGGGTTGTTAACTGATACTGGATAAACGAGTGCTCTAAGCTGTTGACAGCTGGCAGCTAGCTACCTCAAAGAAACAAAAGGAAAACCTCAGAACCCTAAGGGAAGGGCCTGTGGCCCGGAGCTCACCCCTGAGGGGAGAGCTGGCTGGGCTGCTGAGAGGGAGGGAGTGGCCAGTCTGGTTTTGCCGGCGTGGGGACAACAGATTCAGTCGCTGCTGTGCAAGGAGTGAAGCCTTGCTTGGGTGATGCTGGGAGCCAGCAGACAGACATGCCGGCCTCTCCCCCTTCTTGGGGTTTCCCTCCAGAACTCCCTGTTGGCAAAACCTAGCAGGGAAGCAGGCGGAAAGGCACCCGAGGAACACCCGGGGTGGCTCCGTCGGTTAAGCCTCTGCCTGCGCCTTCCGCCCAGGTCGTGAGGATCCTGCCTCCTGACGGACCTCATCCAAACCAGGCAGGTTCCTGTTCATGGAAGCTGCGACCTGCCGCCAGGGGCTGACCTAAACCCCCAGGGATTTTTTTTTTTTTTAATTAAAAAATAAAAAGAGAATGTGGCTGTCCTTTCCAAGAGCGGCCCCAAGAAAATGTCTCTCTCTTAAAGGCTTTATGATGTTTTGGAGAATGCCTCGGTGTTAAAGGGAATTTAAAACTCAACACAGGGGTAAAAGCTTGGGGAATCTATGTAGTAATCCTGTAATCGTTAAGGCTGTCTTCTCACACTGGCAACCCCAGGAAGACGGATGACAGTAAACGGCCATCCTCTACTCTTTGTATCTTTACAATTCTGCACGTGAATATACGGCACACTCAAGAACTTAATACAACTTTGCAAAGCAAATCCCTCTCCGGGACGCCTGGGGGGCTCCGTGGGTTAAACGTCTGCCTTCAGCTCAGGTCATCATCTCAGGGTCCTGGGATGGAGCCCCTCATTCTGCTCCCTACTCAGTGAGGAGCCTGCTTCTCCTTCTCTCCCCCTGCTTGTGTTCCCTCCCTCGCTGTGTCTCTTTCTGTCAAATAAATAAATAAAATATTTTAAAAAGAAAAGAAAGAAAGACCATCGTGCCAGGTCAGGCTTCCCAGGAAGCAGACTGTAAGGTGGGGACTTGCCCTCATGGGGCCACAGCTGCGGAGTGCTCCTAGCGACATCATGATCAGCCGTGCGAAGGAGAGGGGACAAGTTGAACAGCAGTGCAAGCAAATGGGGGTTAATGACACACGGGAGACTGCAGTCATTTCAGATCAAGGCACAAGAGCAGGAGGGAGCGGCATCTCTCACTATTACCCCACATCCAGCAGCTGTGGGGAGGCGGGCTGCTCCCTTAGGCCAAGCACAATTCCCGGGAAGACCCCTGACCAATGACCAGGCAGACCAGGCGGCTGAGGGAGCCCGTGCCTGTATTTGTTTTATTTATTTATTTTTTAAGATTTTATTTATTTATTTGACAGAGATCACAAGCAGGCAGAGAGGCAGGCAGAGAGGCAGGCAGAGAGAGAGGAGGAAGCAGGCTCCCCACGGAGCAGAGAGCCCGTTGCGGGGCTCGATCCCAGGATCCTGAGATCATGACCTGAGCGGAAGGCAGAGGCTTTAACCCACTGAGCCTCCCAGGCGCCCCTCGTGCCTCTGTTTTAAATTGGCTCTGGGTGGAGCATCACAGCTTCCACGACCCCGAGCTTCTCAAAGTTTGGTGCACACCGCAAGGCCTGCTGGACCCGCCCACAGCTCCTGATCCGGTCGGGTGGCGGGGATCCGAATCCGCTCTTGCAACGATTCCAGGAGATGGTGCTGGTAGCGTCTAGGGCCCGCACCACGAGAACCGTCACCCTGGACCTGATCCGGTTAAACCCACCCAGGTTGAATGCTAACGCGCGGGAGTTCATCGCTTGGGGATGCTAATCCCAAAACTCCCTGTTCCGACGGCGGTCCCTGTGGGCGCAGGCCACCTCCTCCGCAGCTGCAGCTCCGGGGGAACTGGACCGGGCTGGCTAACACTCGTGCTGGCTGCGGGGCTGCAGGCAGTGCTCACAGTGCCCGAGAGCCCCCCGCGTTCCTCGACCTGGGGGCCTCAGCCTGGCTCTCGGCTCTCCGCAGGGCGCGGAAGCCAGGGGTCAGTCCTGCCTGCGATGCGCGCCAGGTCCGCGCGCCTAACTCCATTGCCCCCACCCCGCCCACCCCCGCATCTGAGGCCGGGGAGAGGGAACCGACCTGCTGGGGAGGAAAGTGTATCGGCTGTTAAACCCGCGTTGGTGCCGGCGGGTGCTTGCTTTGGGTTGCAGACTTGGCGCTCGCCCAAACTCCGCACGGTGGGCCCGGCGTGGGAAGACTCGGTGCCCTACTCGATCACACGCCCAGAGAGCGAGGGCAACAGGTCAGGTGTCCGGGGACGGGGTCTGCAGGTGCGCTAGGGACGTCGGGGGAATGGCGGGGATCTGCAGGTGAGGGGTGGGGGACGCGGGCAGGGGCGGGGCGTGCAGGCGCGCGGGGTGGGGCGCGGGGAGTGCAGGTCACAGGTGCACGAGGAGGCGCGGGGAGGGGAGCGGCCTGCAGGTGCGGGGGGAGGGGCGGGGTCTGCAGGTGCGCGGAGGGAGGTGCCGCCGTGCGCGCCGGGGATACCGAAGTCACTTGCTCCAGGGCCGGCCTCGGGGATGCTGGACCCGAACCCCGCTCTTCCCCTGTCCCCTCCCTAACCCCTGCGGTCCGAGGGAGCCCACGCACCTGGCCATCCGCACCCCACAGTAGCCCCCACGAATACCTCCGGGGTCCCCGCCGGCGGTGCGGGCGCCCCCCTCCGTCCCTGCCCCGGGGCGCATGAGCGAACCCCCGGCGCGGACGCGGGAGGAGGGCAGCAGGCGACCGCAGGGACAAAGGCCTACGCAGCGCGCCGCGCGCGGTAAAAGGTAAAGACGGGAGAACCTCGGCGGGGCGGGTCCTAGGGAGGCCGGCCGCACCCCGGGTGTCCGCGTTCTGTCCGCGCTCGGACAAAATGTACCCTCGGCCTGCGGGACGCCACACGCACAAGCTACACCCGCCGTCGCAAGCGTCACAAACATTCCTCACAGGCCACAGAGCGGGTGAGGAGAACGCGCGGGAAAGCCGCCACCGCCTCCGGTCACCTCTCCCATTGGCTAACCCTGCCGTCGTTCACGGCGGCCCGCCTCTCCTGCTCGCGGGCGATGTTCTCATTGGCTAACTACCACCAGCCGTCCGCCCTCATTGGCCCGCCCCTCCGTTCGTCGGGCTGGAGCGGTGGCGACAGGCCGAGAGCCGCGCGTGGCCCCGCCCCCGCTCGCACAGAGGCGCGTCGGTGTTGGGGCTGGAGGCCCCGCCCCCCCGTGCCGTGTGCAAAAACAAACAGCCGTTAGGGAGGAGGTGCCAGGGGCGGGGCCTGGTTAGAAGAGGCCGCGCGATTGGGCAGCAGCAGGGGTTCAAACCAGCAACGGGAGCGAGGATTGGCCGGGGCGGCCCGAAGCGGGCCCCGGTTATTGTCCGGGCTCCGGCGGCAGCGGTAGCGGCGGCGGCGGCGGCGGCGGTCGGTGCTCCGGAGCGGCGGCTCGGCGGCGGCTCGGCGGGAGCGAGGGCGGGAGCGGCCGAGACCATGGTGAGGGGGCGGCCGGGTGGCCGGGCGGCTGGCGGCGCGGATACCTGTTGAGGCAGCCCGAGGTCGCCCCGCCCGCCGTGGCGTCGGCTCGCAGCGAGGGGAGCGGGCCGTGAGGCCGGCCTGCGTCCCGGGCGGGAGGGCGGGCTCTCCGTGCTGTCCCCCGGTGTCCCCTGGGCAGCGCCGCCGACCTGCGGGCCTCCGCCGGCGGATGGACGCTCGGGCGGGTCTCGGGAGCCAAAAGTCCGGGCGGCGGCGGGCTGTCGGCTTGCTGCGGAGCCGTGGCTCCCGGGCCCCGCGGGCAGATGTGCGGCCGGCGGCGGACCTGCGTGGGCCGTTGCCCCCTGCGGCTCGGAAAGCCCGCGCCTTAATGCCGCTGCCTGCGGAGCGGGTGGGACGCGAGTGACTTCGGGCCCGCCCGGCGCGGCTGGCCGCTGAGAGCGGGTCGGTGTTTCCGGACTCGGCGCTGCGGACTGCCGGAGCCGCCGGAGCCTTTGGCGCGGGGCGGACGGGGAGGGTCCCGTCCTGCGGAAGGACGGCGTGCGGGAGGCTCGGGGCGGCTCGTACGTGCTGCCGCCGCCCGCGCGTTTAGTGCCGAACGTTAGAGCGGCTGAGATGTGTGCGGTGGACGCTGTAGCCTCCGGGTGCTTCGTTTTGTGTTTTTATTGACGTGACAGAGATCACAAGCAGGCAGAGATGGGGGGAAGCAGGTCTCTGCCGAGCAGAGCGCCCGACGCGGGGCTCGATCCCAGGACCCAGGGATCATGACCCGAGCCGAAAGCAGAGGCTTCACCCACTGAGCCCCCCAGGCGCCCCCGTGGTCTACAAGTTCTTTGAAGAGCTGCGCGCTGCAGAGGGGACGCGCGGTTTCAGAGCTTAGCGTCCACTCGCTGGAACAGCCGGTCCGTCTTGTAAACGGATTTAATGTTGACGGGCCTTTTTTTTTTAAACCGTGACGCCGCGGTATACTCGAATGGTACGGATGAAACCGTCGGCCGAGGACCTCGGGTTCTGTCTTAGCTCGGGTCCTTGGTGTTCCCTCCCCGAGGCCCGAACGTGTCTGACTTACCCAGTGATGTCCCGGTGGTGTGTGCGCTCGCCTGCGGCGAGCAGCCCGGCTTTACCGGGGAAAAGCCCACGGCCTTTGTCTTTTTCTCCAAGAAGTAGTTTCGTGGGGGTTCGGTGGCGCGTACCTGCACCTCGGTTGTTGAAACGGCTGCGAAAGTCTCCCTTGCTTCCCTGTAGCAGGTCCTGTTTGTGAACGGTAAGACTCCAGCCCTTCTTTTACTGGCTGTTGATAGTAGGATTCGTTTAACCGTTTCTGTGTAAGCTGGAAGGTCTTTGGTTTTCAAACATACCTAACAAAGTTGGCCCTTGGAGCCGTTCTTCAGTGTCCCATCCGTGGCATGAAGTCCAGTCTCCTCGCTCCGCAGCCAGCACTTCCGGTCGTCTTCAGGCCGCTCCTTTCTTCCAGAGTGACACTCCGCACCTGTGAGGCACTCACCCTGCTTCCGGCCCCCTGCAGCCTCTGGCACCCATGTTTCTCTCTGTCCCTCTGGTTTTGACAGGTGCCTCCTGTAAGATGCACCAACAGTATCTGCCTGTGAAGGTCGTGTCCGGCAGGTGCCACAGTGCCCTCCTCCTAACCCAGTGCTCGTCCGGGGGACGTGCGCAGCGCATCTCTGCCCCAGAACGCCGGCCGCTTGTGCCTCTGCGCTGCTGGGGACCTGCGCGCTGGTCGCAACCTCAGTTCCGTGGTAGAGCCCCGGGTGGGACCGCTGGGGCACGTGCTACTTCCATGGGCGCGTTCTTGAGGGTTTGGTTTTTATAAGGTGCTTTTTCCCTCTCCCTCCAAACAGCGGACTTCTGACTATTTCTGTGGAAATGATATATGTTAACTGGTTTTTTAAAAAATATTTTTAAAATATTATTTCATTATGAAATATTTCCAGCATAAAAGTTATATTGACCTGTTGAAGGTCCTTCGGGGTGAAATTTGAGAAAAAATGTCCAAAGTTCGGGAATCTCATTTTAAATAAGTATTTAAGATTCAACGTCATGTTTATATAAACTAATAAATGGTGGCATAACACCTGTATGTCTGAACTTGAGGAAGGAGATCACCTAGAATTTTTTTAACTACCTGAGGTAAAACTGGAAGAACTTGTTTCCCATATCTTTTTGAAATAGCATTTTCAAGTCTTCATCTGGAGCTTTTTTTCACTTAGGCTGGAGGCAAAGCTGGAAAGGACAGTGGGAAAGCCAAGGCTAAGGCCGTGTCTCGCTCCCAGAGAGCCGGGCTACAGGTAATTGATGTTCTCCTAATTCGCTATTAAATTAGTTTCTTTACTGTTATGATCCAGGACCCAGAGATGTTTCATTAATTATGGAAATGTATTGTTGGCCTTTTAATGAGATTAATTGCTCGAAATTTAAATACTAAAACAACAGTGTTTTAATTTGTATTTTTCTAAATAAGAACAAGTCATGAAATGACCTTAAATGAACTCTGATTTTGCTCTCTTAAAATCTGTTATTTCTGGATTGTAAGTATGTTCTTGGTTCTCTTATAAATTGAGTCACGTTAAAGTAAGTCCGCTGTGGGCTTTCTTCTGGGGGAGGTGTGTGTGGTAGGGGGTAACTCTGAGATGACAGGAATTTGGGGCAGAATGACGGGTGGTTCGTTAGTTCTTTGACTGTCCCCAGTAGCTTCAGCTCTAGACTGCACTGATGTACCCGAAACACTCGGTACCTTCAAACTTCTTATATTTCAGTGGTTGCGACTGTAATCCACAAACTCAGAATATTCTGAATAAGTAAGAATTGCTCCCTGCGTGTAAGACACCCTTTCAAAGGAAGGTGTGAAGGCCAGACTGTAAGGTTTGGATTTTCAGCCTCTCGGCTGTGGTGAGCCACTGAAAGCTTTGGAGCAGGAGCTTGGCATGACCCGTGGGAACTGAAGGAAGGGGATAGAAGTTACCCGATGGTGCCTTCTGTATCGCAGAGCATCGCGTGAACCTGACGCGTTGGGTGAGAGCCAGACACGCTGGCCTTGGTGCTGTAGCAGGCACCGTGCACCTGCGCTGGCGCGTGTGCGATCCGCCGGTGGAGGGTTGACAGGCAAGGCGAGAAAGGTCTCCCTAAGGCTCAGAACCTTCGGGTCAGAGGAGTTTGTCTTGAGGCAGAAACAGGTTATGACATAATCGGTGTCAGGTGGGTAACTTGAAGTTCCCCGGAACACCGGCAGGAAGGGACCAGCCCGTAGTAGATTGGAGCCCCCGTTCCAGGAGGGAGCGATCAAAAGAATGACAGATTTAAGTTCCCGTGTGTCAGATAGATTGTTGATGCTACAGATGTTTGCTGTTAGAGCATGAGAACGGAACACGGGGACCCGGGCGGACCCTCAGAAACACATGGGATCTGAGTCAGAGAAAGAAAGGCCTGAAGACCAGCCCGCCTGGAAGACCGTTAGAGCTCTGTGTTGTCCCTGCAGCCGACGGAGGAATGGGGTTCCGCGTCCTAGTGTGTCGTTAGACAGCCTGCCTGCTCCGGGGGGGCCCGGGGTTACTTAGTGAAGGACTGTAATTGAGCAGAAGGCCATGCCTTCCTCCTCAAGGATGGGATCTAGAAATGGCCGCTAGATTTGGCAGTTCGGGTGTTACCGCTGACCTTCAAGAATGATGTTCGGCAAAAGCCAGGTTTGGATTGGAATAAAAGAGGTGACAGGAAAGTTAGGGGTTGGGATTTCCTTTTAAGTTTTGCCTTTGGAGGCTCACCTGGTGGCTCAGTGAACCAGTTAGGTGTCAGGTTCGAGATCAGCTCACGTCAGGCGAGGTCAGGTCCCCAGCTGGGCTCCAGGCTGGGCGTGGCACCTGCTTAAACATCAGTCTGTCCGTCCGTGCGTCCGGGCCTTTGGAAAGGAGATGCGCAGACAAGCAGGAGCTTTGCCAGAGGCGTGGAGGCATTCTGCGCGAGGTGCAGATGAGAGGCCGCGCGGGGGCTGGTGGAGCTGCTGCAGCGCCAGAGCAATGTAGGGCTGGGGCGGTCGGGCGCAGGGGTGCGGAACAAGGACCCCTTGGAGCTGAGGAAGTGCCTCGTCTCAGGAAGAGTCCCAGTGAGAAAATGGTGTTGGTTTCTCTTAGCCGTCAGATCACCTCTTAAAACCGAGCACGGAAGGGTGGCCGGGCCCAAGGAAGGTGGCGGGAGAGGAGGTCCCACGGGGCTGTTCCGTGGAGGGACTAATGATCCCCACACGACGCGAGGCCCTGTGGGGCGTGCACGGGCTGTGGCGCCGCGAGCTTTCTCTGCGCGAGGCTGCGACCGTCTGCGTTCGGAGCGAGTGCTGTTTTGCCTTTTCTTCTCTCCGCAGGACAGTAACTGGCATGCAGGGTGGGCTCCTTACTAGGACATGAGCACAGGTCCCGGGACCTCTCTGTTGCTAGATCGGTGTGACTTCTTTTTTTTTAAGATTTTATTTATTTATTTGATAGATCACAAGTAGGCAGAGAGGCAGGCAGAGAGAGAGAGAGAGGGAGGCAGGCTCCCCGCCGAGCAGAGAGCCCGATGCGGGGCTCGATCCCAGGACCCTGGGATCGTGACCTGAGCCGAAGGCAGAGGCTTAAACCACTGAGCCACCCAGATCGGTGTGACTTCTGACACGCACAACCAAATTCATCTTCTGTCCTGCGTCACCCCTGTCGCTCAGCCTTTGGTCACACACGGTGGTGTGACGGTGAGACTCTCAGATGCTTCCCACCCCGATGGTTTGTCTTTCAGTTTCCTGTGGGCCGCATCCACAGACATCTGAAGACTCGCACTACGAGCCACGGAAGGGTCGGTGCCACGGCTGCCGTGTACAGTGCCGCGATCCTGGAGTACCTCACTGCGGAGGTGTGCGGGACGGGCTCGTGTGGGGTCTGGCGGGGGCGGTGCTCTGAAGGACTGGAGCCCGCGGAGTCGGGGCTCAAGACAAAAAAACGCGGGTGCTTCGAGATGCGTCTTACTGGTGCCGGCGTTGAGCGGAACCTTGATGAGCTCTTGTCTGAAGTCCACATGAGGTCTGCAGTCCATACCTTTAAGCGATGTGACAAAGGAGTGTCACATACTCTCAGTGCTCTGCTAGTAACGCAGGAAACCATGACTGTAGGTGTCGCTGTTCCGTGATCTTTGTGAGGTTAGACCGCAATCTGGCGAGTGAGGATTTGGGGCGGGTAGAGGTTTGCCAGTGTGAGGACGCATTTTTAAAAACCACAGGTACACGATGGTGATGGGGTTGTATGCATAAAATGCCGTATCTTGGTCAGTTTGACACTTTAGGATGATGGCTCAGAATGTTCCAGATACTTAAGTTGGGGAAGTTAGTCATTAGTAGAAGTAAAGAAAATACTGGAATCTAAAGTCAGGGATAATCACTTTTCAGCCTTGGTTTTGCACTAGGATCACTTGGTGAACTCTCCAAAGATGCTGGTACCCTGCCTCCCACCAGAGCCGCCAGTTTAGGAAAGAACGGAGCGGGGTCCCAGTGGCTTGTAAAGTGTGCCCGTGGCTTCTGGTGCACACCAAGGCTTCCGGCTGCGCTGTCTCCATGTGGCTCCGGGGACTTGCTTTTGTAGGTTGTACAATGCTGGTATAGTCTGGGGAGGCAAAAAAACACAAAAATGTGGTTTTATGGCTAGCTGGGGCTTTGAAGTTCTTTTAGTTGAAAATTCCCATTCTAGAATAAAGCATGCTGCTTGCGGATTATAGGGCCAGTGATGTTAAAATCTCTGAGTGAGAAATTATTTTCATTAGGTTTTTAAACTTTTCTACGAGTACTAAGAAATAAACTGCAGCCGCTAAGGGCCGGGCACAACTAGACTACAGGGACATGGAGAAAGAACGCTTTTCTGAGGCGTTCGTATTGAACATGGTGGTGAAGGGACAGTCTCTCCCTCGCCTTCTTCCCGTAGAAGCGGGTGCTTGCCCGGGCGTCTCCTGTCCCTGCAGCAGGCGGCTGCGGAAGGGCCCAGCGAAGTAAGGAGAGTCCTCTGAGAGCATCAGGAACGTGTGAGCGCGGGTTGTCGGTTCCCGCGTCTGTCGTGTCCGGGCGCCACGGAGATCTTTCTTGCTCTGATGGGTCCACACTGACCCTAAGAGCCTTCGCCCCCTGACGCGCTGTCCCCCGGGCGCTTTGTAGGTGCTGGAGCTAGCGGGCAACGCCTCCAAGGACCTCAAGGTAAAACGGATCACTCCGCGCCACTTGCAGCTGGCGATCCGCGGGGATGAGGAGTTGGACTCGCTCATCAAGGCCACCATCGCCGGGGGCGGTACGTATGCTAACCCGCCGGCCTCGGTGAGGAAGGCCAAAGTCAGATTGGCGCTCCCCGGTGCGTGTGCGGTCCGCGTGTGCGCACACGCGCTGACACACGCACACCCCGAAACCCATAAGAGCGCTGTTCTGCACAGGTTCTGTGGGGCTCCCGGAGCCCGAGAGAGGGAGCCCTGGGGGCAGGTACTGTCACAGGGGACTTGAGTCTGTGCGGTCGCCGTCCGTCGAGGCACGGCAGCCTCTGATCCTGTGCGCTTCCTTGCAGGTGTGATCCCGCACATCCACAAGTCTCTGATCGGCAAGAAGGGACAGCAGAAAACCGCTTAGAGCACGCTTTTAACCAACCCCTTCCCCCCGTCATCGTACTGTAACCGGGTCGAAGAAAGCACGGGGCGTGTGGAGGTTTCCGGAGAGGCGGGTGGAAAAGCATAGACCGTTACTGCAGACGCGATGAGAGACCTGTGTGTCCCGAGGCTCCCGTGTGGCGAAGCCCCTTTCCACGCGGCAGTACCTGGCGTTGGTCGGCTGGTTTCTCCCGTGTGTTTTATACAAAAATGGAATCGATAAACCATTTTTTACAAAACTAACCTGGCTCAGAACTGTTCTGTTCGTGAGGTGTTGCAACTGTTTTGCTTCTTTGAAATTTTTAAAATTTCAAATCCGTTATCTTACATTCACGGTAATTTTAGAACAGGGATTGGGAATACGGACTTCCCCGGGTCGATACCACGTCCTCCTACGGGGTCGCAGGCGCCCTCCGCTCTCGGGACGCAGCCTCCCGTTACACAGCGCGAGGCAGGGAACCGGCGGGAGGCCGGGGCGCGCCGGCAGCGAGGACGCGCGTCCCAATTCCGCCGGGACTCGAGGACGGAAACGTACACTCGGAGCCCATGTAAGAGGCTAGTGGAGTTGTCTCCGGAGCCCTTACTGTGTGGCAGGCCCCGAGCTAAGCGCTTTCGTGATCAGGAAATTGTGCGCACCCACGCGCGAGCATACGGACACCGAGGCGCGCGGCTGTCACCGTTAGCCAGAAGCGCTTCCCTCGTAGACAGAAAGCGGCCGAGCCGGGATACAGCCTCAACTTGGCCGGCTCCAGAGCCCGCACGGGCACCCGGGATTAGAGTTAAAACTTAGAGTCGGTGCTTCTGCCTCGGCCTCCAGCTTCCAGTTGTCTTGCGCGGACACAGCAGAGCACTCGGCAGGTCGGGCCGTGTTTCTGCACGCCGGTGGCTCGCTCCGCTTCCACGCTCGCGTGCGATTCAGCGCGGCTGCCAACTCCGTCAGGAAGCTCTGTTTCTGCTAGGGACTCTTCGTTAAAAAAGAAAGTTTAATGTTTTATAACCTAGCACTATCAAGACAAAACTCATTTTAAAAAACTTATTTTATTTTGGAAACTTTCAAAAATACCGAAAATAAAGAGAATAGTGTAGTAAAGCCCGGCGTGCTCCTCCGGCTTCCACGTTACCCTGTGCTCAGCTCTGTCTTACCCATGCGCCCGCCTGGCCCTGCTCCCAGTGGGCTGCTTCAAACCCCATTTCAGGCGTCATCTATTTGAGTGCCTGCATACTTACTGAGCTCTAAGGAGGGGACACTTTTTGGACCATAATCACAATCTTTAAGAGTTTATTTATTTGGGGGTTGCCTGGGTGGCTCAGTGGGTTAAGCGTCTGCCTTCGGCTCAGGTCATGGTCCCAGGGTCCTGGGATCGAGCCCTGCATCAGGCTCTCTGCTCCGCGGGGAGCCTGCTTCCTCCCCTCTCTCTCTCTGCCTGCCTCTCTGCCTACTTGTGATCTCTGTCAAGTAAATAAATCTTAAAAAAAAAAAAATGTTATTTATTTGGGGCACCTGGGGGGCTCAGTTGTTAAGCGTCTGCATTCAGCTCAGGTCATGATCTCAGGGTCCTGGGATTGAGCCCCGCATCAGGCTCTCTGCTCGGCGGGCAGCCTGCTCTGCGCCGCACCCCCCACCCGCCGCCTGCCTCTCTGCCTAGTTGTGATCTCTCTCTCTCTGTCAAATAAATAAAAAATATATATTTTTAAAGTCCTTTAAAAAAAAAAGATTTTGACAGCAAGAGACACAGCGAGAGAGGGAGTACAAGCAGGGGGAATGGAAGAGGGGGAAGCAGGCTCCTGCTGAGCAGAGAGCCCGATGCGGGGCTCGATCCCAGGACCCTGAGATCATGACCTGAGCCGAAGGCAGAGGCTTTAACCCACTGAGCCCCGCACATCCCCCTGCAGTCAATAATTCTCATACCTACCTCCTAGAGTCTACAGTTAATAGTTCATCATGTAAGTACTCATCTGTGGGATGGCTCTCATTTGCCTGATGTTTTTATGCTCTGTTTGTCCTGGTCTTTTCTTGTTGGAGAGGGGAAGGTGTGCGACCGGATCATGTCGTTATGTCAGATGACTGACAGGTTTTGAGGATCTGGGGACACAAGCTTCCCCTGGGGTATGTGCTAAGTTCAGTCGAGGGCTGAGTGTGTTGAATAAGGACGTTTGCCTCTGAGATTCATGAATCCGATTCTGAGCAAGATCTGTCATCTGCTTGGGAGGGGCTTTGAAAGTAATTTCAAAGCACTTTGTGGGGCATGTTCTGTCTGTTTGGCCTTCGGGTGATGCGCACGGCCTCCCCGGCTGAGGTCAGAGTTTGAGGCACGCAGGCACCGGGGAGGGTGAGGGCACAGCCTGAAATGTGCGAAGTTGAAGGCCACCCCCGGTCCGCAAAACCAGGCTTCGGCACAGTTTAGCAGTCGCCGACCAGCCTTTCTTTCTTTCTTTTTTTTTAAGATTTTATTTATTTGTCAGAGAGAGAGGGAAAGAGCGCGAGCACAGGCAGACAGAATGGCAGGCAGAGGCAGAGAGAGAAGCAGGCTCCCCGCCGAGCAAGGAGCCCGATGTGGGACTCGATATCAGGACGCTGGGATCATGACCTGAGCTGAAGGCAGCCGCTTAACCAACTGAGCCACCCAGGCGTCCCTCTTTCTTTTTTTTTTTTTAAGATTTTATTTATTTATTTGACAAACAGATCACAAGTAGGCAGAGAGGAGGAAGCAGGCTCCCCACTGAGCAGAGCCCGATGCGGGGCTCGATCCCAGGACTCTGGGATCACCACCTGAGCCAAAGGCAGAGGCTTAACCCACTGAGCCACCCAGGCGTCCTGCCGACCAGCCTTTCTTAGTGCACAAATAGGAAGTTAACATGTGATCCGAAGAGGCTCCAAGCTTAGAATTCTCTTCTGGAGGTAGGGAAGGTCACTACACGTTTTCATTGAAAACTCCCCACATGTCTAATATGGATTTGCCTCTAAACCCCTAAATAAATCTGAGAAAGCAAAGAAATCCGGGCCCACGTTCGTTCGCTAGCTGGTCCGCTGGCCGCACAGCTGGAGTTGGAACTCAGGCCAGTCTGACTGCGGGTTCCAGGCCCAGCTGCGCGGAGGCCACCACGGGGCACGAGTGCGGGCGCTGCCGTTCGTCGTGTGCTTGGAGCTTCGGCTAGAAAATGTGATTAACGCAGGTCTGGACGTCACTCGAAGGAGCTCCTTCTGACACCTGCATGGAGAGCCGGGGGGCCTTGTGAGCGGAGGTCACCTTGGGCCTGCCTGGTGGGTTGCAGAGCGAGCTCGAGCCTGCCCGCGTGGCATCCACGCGAACCTCGCCCCGAAGCAGCGGCTCCCGGCTGAGCTCGAGGCGGGAAGGCGAGGCTCGGCTGACCCTGCCCGCACTCAGACTTGCCGGCCAGTGTCCAGCCAGCCCCGCGAGTCCCTGCCAGCCCCCAGACGCGTTTCCGTTTTCTCCCGGTTCCATCGGTGGCCTCAACCCTCACTCAATTGCCGTCCCATCCTCTCCCTCCCCTCCCTTCCAGGTTTCTGCCGCAGGGGTGAGCGCACCCCCCATACTTCCCACAGGTTTCACAGGAGTGCGTTCCGAGTTTATACTTTCTAGAACATGCGTCCTGATTCTTCCCAAAAATGCCCCATGCTGGACCCTTCCCGCTCACCACCCAGGCCACCATGCTCACCTCCAGCCCCGCCTCCCTGTTTCAGCCCACACCGTGCGACACTGCCAGACGCGTGGATGTGTCCCTTTTAGTGTCACAGCCAGCTCCTAGGCCGAGTCCGTGCACACTGTGAAGCCCTCCCTCTGCCCGGACCCTGCTGCCAGGATCCGCTGCCCCCATTTGGGCCTTAGCTGTGCCGCGAGCCGGCCACATTCCCCGCAGCAGCTTTGCGTGAGGGCCGCCGGCCGCACTCAAGGACCGCCGTGAGGCCGCGTGCTGCATAGGACGTGGCCCCCCGAGGACTGGCACCGTCCCTCCCACCGTCCACAGATTGTTTTATCAAGTATCACCTTCTAAGATTTGTTCCAAGTGTTTAAAAATTTAAAAAGTGTTTTGAAATGTTCAAAAGGGTCCAAGTAGGAACACCTCCGAGTTCAGACAGAGCTCAGCTGAGGGGCTGGAAAACCCGGGAAAGTCGGACAGGACGGTGGGGTGGGGTGGCTAGAGAAGGACGCATTCCTGGGGAGGATGGCCCTGGGGAGGAGGCCTCACCGAAGGGGATGGTAGTTTGCGAGTTGCGCTCCATAACTTTCTGCCTCCGAGGTGTTCCCGTGTCCACGCGTGGCCCCGATGGGGAGGAGGTGGTCTGAGAGCGTAATGATGAGCTGGTGGCCCGGGAGAGGACGAGGCGACGGGAGAGGGAACTTAGGACAGATCATCTGAACGCAGAGAGCCGCAGGTTGCGGAGGCGTGGGCGTGTCCATGTAGACGCCCCGTATTCTGCAGAGAAAGGTGAGGTCTGCGCCTGCACAGCCAAGGACAAAGGGCCCAGCGGGAGGACCTCTCCCAGGCAGAAGCGTCAGAGCTTCCCAAACCAGGCAGCCATGCTTTGCACCACCAAGCGGGCGGGCCCTGAGGCCCCAGGCCCGGTAGCAAGTGCCTGCCTCCGGAGAGGGAGCAGTTTCCAGTTCGCCCGTCGCCCTCGACAGAAACCCGGGTCCCCTCCTGGCTCCTGCCTTCCTCCTTCCCTTGGCACGGAGAGCAGGGGCACTCCCGGTCGCGCCGGTGCAGCCGCAGACGGGCTCCCACATTCACCCCATCTGCACACGTGCGTAAGGGAGCCCAGGCGACGGTCCTGCTCTTTTTTTAACAAATAAAAATCCAGGTGAGCAAGTTTTGAATGATGAGTCGCTGCGTCCTTCCTGCAAGCCTGTCACATTCCGTCCGCCCCGGGCTACTCCCGGCCTGACCATGGCTTAGCGGAGGCCGGCCCGGGCACTCCGCTGCGGGCTTTGCTGCCGGCAGGACAGCCGGTATCTATCATCTCGAACCGCCGCTCGGGGAGGAAGGAGCTGAGGCCAGCCCTCCACAGGAGCGGGGCGCAATGGCCCTTTGCAAAGCTCTGACCCTGGACGTAGAGGGATGGCTTTGGGGGATGCAGGTGCAGATACGGGGCACGGCCACATGACTGGTGACCAGGACACCGCTCACTCTGGACCCGGGACGCCCAGTGCGTGATGCCAAGGGATCCGAGCAGCTGTGGCGAGCGCTCTGCCCCCGGGGCATGTGCCCAGCCCTGGGGCTGG